ACCTGAACTTCTGACCATCAGTTGGTTTCTGTAATTACACAGTACCTGAACTTCTGACCATCAGTTGGTTTCTGTAATTACACAGTACCTGAACTTCTGACCATCAATTGGTTTCTGTAATTACACAGTACCTGAACTTCTGACCATCAGTTGGTTTCTGTAATTACACAATACCTGAACTTCTGACCATCAATTGGTTTCTGTAATTACAAAATACTGAACTTCTGACCATCAAAGAGTTTCTACACAAAACTTATGATACCTACAATAAACAGTGGCCTTAGTTACTTGTCAAGGAAGTGATGAGATAGAATATTTTGTACAACAGTTGTACAAAATGCATTGCATCCAAGACTTTTTGAAATGTAGCTCAGATATTTGTAAAATAAACCTCAAAACATCACTCAAGAATTTCCAACATATTATAATTCATACATATATCTCCAATTTTTCGTTCTCTAAGACATGATGAAATAACAAGGAAAATACAAAAAAAAATAATAAGTTCATTTAAAAAATGACCATGAGCCTTAATATCTAGAGACACAAACAGTAAAGAAATATGTTCATACCCATTTCTACAATTGTGTGATATCTGTGTATGACCATGGTAAAGATTATATTGTTGTCAGAAAGTAGCATTTATTGTCTGTGACAACTTAATTCAAATATTGATGCAAAATTGAGCTGGAATTGTGATCCAATAAACATTTTATCTATATCCAGACATAAAAACATCAAGCCAATTGTCACTTAGCCTTCTCTACCACAGTAGTCAATTTACATAGGAATCAGTGAAAACATAAATGTTATACAACCAAATTTCGGTACACATTGGTAAAATGGAAGCCAACACAGCTTATCAGGCAACAGAGAAGCATGAAAACGCCACACAGGAAAAGGAAATAACAATCAAGTTATCTGCAGTGTGATTGGTGGATATGGAATTTGAAGCCAGCAAGAACCCAACGTATAAAACAGATATGAATTGTGTCCTTCTTCTACCATGTTTGTCTAAATAAATCACTATTCTAATCAACTTGCCCCTGGGAATTTTGTAATCAAACTCAGAAATGAAATATAAAATGATTCCATTGATGAGAACTTCAATATTGATCCTCATCAATGTCATCTTGAATTTCAAAATCTATACTGTACCAGGGTGGGTGTGATTGGTGCTGCAAACCAGCTTCCCAAAAATCTGATACACAATGTAGTATATGTGATATTGACAAGCTGTGTTTGGCTGGTGATTCCAGCAAACTTACATATAAATAATGCAATATAAAGTAGAGGAAATAACAAACGAGTTATCAGAAACCTTCAAGGAAAAAGAAAAAAAAGGGAAAAAAAATATCATATGAAGAAATGATGGAGAAAGCTCCTAGAGCTGAATAAGCTCCTAACAACATTGAAAGCTCCTTAAAACAGGGAAAGCTCCTTACAAACGAGAAAGCTCTATACAACAGAGAAAACTCCTAACAACAGTGAAAACTCCTAACCACAGTGAAAGCTCCTGACAAACCAGAAAGCTCTATACAACAGCGAAAGCTCCTGACAACAGTGAAAGCTCCGAACAACTTAGAAAACTCTTTAAAACAAGGAAAGCTCCTTAAAACAGGGAAAGCTCCTTACAAACAAGAAAGCTCTATACAACAGGGAAAACTCCTAACAACAGTGAAAACTCCTAACAACAGTGAAAACTCCTAACCACAGTGAAAGCTCCTAACAACTGTGAAAGCTCTATACAACAGGGAAAACTCCTAACAACAGTGAAAGCTCCTAACAACTGGGAAAGCTCTATACAACAGGGAAAGCTCCTAATAACTGGGAAAGCTCTATACAACAAGGAAAGCTCTATACAACAGGGAAAGCTCCTAATAACTGGGAAAGCTCTATACAACAAGGAAAGCTCTATACAACTAAGAAAGCTCCTTAAAACAAGGAAAGCTCCTTAAAACAAGGAAGTTCTATACAACAGGGAAAACTCCTAACAAATATCCTAACAACCAGAGGGATCAATTTTGTTTCTCTCAAACTGAAGACTGCACAACTAGGCATAAAAGGAAACCTTGACATGAAATGAGGTATTCCTCAACAAATTAGTATTCAAAAGTCAAAATCACAAGTGGAAACTGTGATCTATCCAGTGCTTCTAGAAATTTATAAATATCAAACAAATTGTTGCTGGTGGCTATCTTGAATGTCCAATAAAATTCACAGTGTTACATGCACAATTAGGACCTAAAATAACCTTATCCCTAAAGTTTCAAGAAGACCCTACAGTAGTTCTTATGAAATAGCAGTAACAAACTTTAAATGGCACAAGAGATCCCAGACAGATTATTTGATCTATAATTGTTCTGTAGAAGTTGGACCTTTTCTCTTCTCTCCTATGTTTTTGCTCATAATGATAAAACATTCTAACATTCCTTTGCAGTAAAAGAGACAATAATCTCTCTAATTTCATTTACTGATTATTTTTCAATATTATGATGATCAAAACATAACATACTCATCTAGAAATCACAATGTCCTTATCCTTACATTTTCAAAGTTCATGCAGATCCTTTCAGTAGTTCTAAAGAAATGATGATAACAATCATTCAGTGGCAAAATTCAAAATGGCCACTGGCAGCCATCTTGAAAATCCAATGTATCTAAAATGTTACACAATGAAAACCCATTGCGAACATGTCAACATCAATGAAATCCCTTCTTTAAAGGATGGACTAATGAATGTATGGACAGACAGCTCAACCGACAGACTGATGGATTGATGGACCATAAATGAAAGCGATTGAAAATGCCATCGCATGAAGGTGGGCTAACAATCAGTGAAAATGACATAAAAATGCTTGAAACATCTGTAAAGAACATTCAGACAAGGGAGTGTGCCCAAAACAGTTCAGGGATTGACTGGATGGTATTCATCATACTGGTCAATTAGCTGCCTAAAATGAGTAAGGAATAGATATCAGCTATTTGTTTAAGGAAAGAGCAGACTGACAAGCAGAGATACTAACATAGACACCACGGCAAGTATATCTATTGTTATTCCAAGGCTTGTTTACAAACTATCCTGTAACATCTCTCAGTAGCTTATAATAAAGAGTGAAGTTTTCCCAGCGTATCTGTGAATTCACCACAATATAGTGGCTGGCTCTACACAAAAAACGTTATAATTGCATCATATATAATGTTTGATTCAATTGCACTATTGAGATAAGTCTGATAATGTTATCAGAATATTAATGGGGAAACCATGGAGAAATCAAAAAAAAAAAAAAAACGGGAACCAGTGTGCTTCCCGGCGTAGTTCCAGTCATCAATATTGGTCTACCAGATTTACCATAACAATCACAGCAAAACTGTTAAACAGTAGTATAGCAAAGTAAAACTCGGTTGGCAGAACATCAGATTTAAGAGCATCGGTTGGAAAATATAGGTGAAAGGTGTTTCTCTAGAATTTGAAACCATGATTCCTCCTCTGCTGTTGTAGTGGTGTCCTAAAGTAAGATACTCAACATGGAAGCATGCAGCAGGCCTTTCACATGTTGTTCAGTGAACACTTGAAGGAGATCCTACCTCAAATGACTCACTCAATTCATAGTGCAATAGTTCACTCCAAACAAACAAGAAATAACAAAGTGTAAACAAAGTCTAGTTGGTCACCTATCAACAATATTATTATTACTAATCAGTTTCAAAATTCAATATGCATAACAGGAACCATGGGTTCCTCTATAAACAACTTTTCCAGGGCTTGATAAAATAATCATTATTTAAAGACAAGTGAACAGATTGACCAATGACCTGATACAAAGGATGATCAGGCCATCCCATGATGAAGGTGTGCTTAAGAGGCAACACTCATTTGCAGTAGAATAGGCTGTGGACTGGGAGATGTTATGTAGTCTAGACTTCTACTGAAGGCTGTGGACTGGGAGACTTGTATTGAAGGCTGTGGACTGGGAGATGTTATGTAGTCTAGACTTCTACTGAAGGCTGTGGACTGGGAGACTTGTATTGAAGGCTGTGGACTGGGAGACTTTCCATAGGTTAGACTTCTACTGAAGGCTGTGGACTGGGAGACTTCTACTGAAGGCTGTGGACTGGGAGACTTTCCATAGGTTAGACTTCTACTGAAGGCTGTGGACTGGGAGACTTCTATTGAAGGCTGTGGACTGGGAGACTTCTACTGAAGGCTGTGGACTGGGAGACTTTCCATAGGTTAGACTTCTACTGAAGGCTGTGGACAGGGAGATATTCTGTTAGCTAGACGTCTACTGAAGACTGTGGACTGGGATATGTTCTGTAAGCTAGACTTCTACTGAAGGCTGTAGACTGGGAGATATTTTGTTAGCAAGACTTCTACTGAAGACTGTAGACTGGGAGATATTCTGTAAGCTAGACATATTCTGTAAGCTAGACATCAACTTGTGGTCCAGTAAATATTATGAAGGATATTCACTTCCCTTGTATGACTTAGACTAAGATATGTTTTGCAGGTTATATTTCCACTTTAATTTGAGGACCATGAGATATTTTACAGAAGTTGTTATGCAATGGACCATGAAACGTTAAGTGGCAGCACCATGCTGTGTCATGGTGCATACTTAAAATTTCTACTTTGACAATATCTGCTGATATTATCGACACACAACTGCAACCATGCTGAGTGATAAAGTATAACTTGGTGCAGTAAATATCCCAAACTACCTACAATAAACAGACTACTATTCATCTAATCAGTCCATCTTTCATGTGAATTCTTAGAGATGATACTTTATCTATAACCTTTAGAACAGGTAAATACCAGAGATTCTCCAACTGCTAACAACAAATATGAAAAGGTCTCAAATATTTTGATGCTACTACTTTACTGCAACAGCAACAATATACAATGTAGTCAGTTTATCGGCTACTATTGTACCACCAATATCCTATGTGGTCAGTCCATCGGCTACTATTGTACCATCAATATCCTATGTGGTCAGTCAATCGGCTACTATTGTACCATCAATATCTAATGTGGTCAGTCCATCACTTGTACCACCACTCGTACTACCAATATCTAATGTGGTCAGTCCATCGGCTACTATTGTACCACCAATATCCAATGTGGTCAGTCCATCACTTGTACCACCAATATCCAATGTGGTCAGTCCATCACTTGTACCACCAATATCTAATGTGGTCAGTCCATCACTTGTACCACCAATATCTAATGTGGTCAGTCCATTAGCTGTACCACCAATATCTAATGTGGTCAGTCCATTAGCTGTACCACCAATATCCAATGTGGTCAGTCCATCGGCTACTATTGTACCACCAATATCCAATGTGGTCAGTCCATCACTTGTACCACCAATATCTAATGTGGTCAGTCCATCACTTGTACCACCAATATCTAATGTGGTCAGTCCATCAGTTGTACCACCAATACCCAATGTGGTCAGTCCATCAGTACACCTATAGTCAGGCAGACTTTAAGTAAGATCTAAAGTAGTATATCAACCAAAACCAAAACTAATTGAATGCTTAATTAGCAGATTTTAGCAGTGTCCTTTTAGGGACAAGACTTTTATACATTTAGTTAACCAAATTATTGCCTACTTCATCTAAAACTATACAATTTCATAACAAAGGGTTAAGAGATACAAAATTTGCTTGTCCATTGGTCAGACTATTTGGTTAATTTTTATCAAATTTCTCCCTATGTGATATTTTGACCAGCATCATATGAGGGCTGATTGATAAGTTGTGAGCTTTGTTTTCAAGGGTTTGACTTTTGGCCGACATATTGCATTATTGTTCAGCATAATCCCATTCAGTATCTTTACACTTTTGTCAGCAATATTTAAGGGTCTCAATGCCTCTTTTACCGACCATTTAGATGTCCTCTATGTAAAACGTCACCATCTGACTAAAAGTGGGTACCGGAAACATTTTTTTTTCAAGTTTGGAAACAGATGAAAGTCTCATGGAGCAAGATTAGGCAAATAAGGCAGATACACAGTCAATTCCTGGCCACAATCATTAATGGCAGCCATGGCAATGAGAGACTTGTGAATAGGGACATTGTCCTGGTGGCATAAAATACCTTTACTGAGTTCTCCACAACACTAGAGTTTTTCTCTTAACAGCTTAACAAGTGATGCAAAATATGTGCCATTGATTGTGTGTACTTTATGCATATAATCTACCATCAGAATACCATCAACATCCCAGAAGACCAAGGCCAGATAGAACAGTCTTTGCCTTTTTTGGCAGGGGTGAACTAGGGTGCTAGACTGGTGTTTGGCCTCTAGGGTGAAATGATGGAACCACATTCGTCCATCATCACAAACCTCTGCAGAAATTTAGCAGGATCTGCCTGTAAAAGGCTCAGATCAGCATGCGACAAAGTCCTCCTGGTGTGCTTCTGATCAACTGTCAGAAGTCTTGGTAACCAACATCATCCCTAAGAATGGAATGTACTCTTTTCTGTGAAATCCCAACTGTACTGGCTATATATCTGTCTGTAACTTGCCTGTCAGCCATAACAATATCATGGACTTTATTGACTATTTCTGGGGTTGCAACAGTGAAATGCCTCCCCGGATGGGCATCATCCCCATGGCTCTGCCTGCCAAGTTTAAATTCCACCACCCACCTTTTCACTATAGCATATGAAGGGACATCATTCCCTAGTGTTGCAGTATGTATATCCTTAGGTGCTAGACTTTTCCTATGAACATATTGAATCACTGCTCTTTCAGCAATTTTGTCCATTATGAAAAAGTCACTTGCCTTGTTTACTTTAGAGTGCTACCTCTTTGACATAAACTGAATAAATGACACCAGTCTTTGGGTACACTTCCTTAAACAGTAAGCGAAAAGTAGAAGTGGAAAAAGTACATCCCTGCTGAACTTCTTCATTACAAGGCTCTCAACTTATCAATCAGCCCTCATATGTAAAAGAGAAAATTACCTTTGAATAATAACCTTAATAATGTTGGATAGTAAAGAAAAAGACCCCCAAATACACTTCATTACTTCACAATTTTGACCAAATAAGCATATTATGTGCTTACAAAAAATCCAAAGGGGCGTGTTTAAAAGATGTATTGATATGAGAAAACATGTGAACTTAATCAGAATCCAGACTCAAATTCAATAAAACTAGTGCCAAATACAAACAAGGAGCCACAAAGCATGGCATTATCCCTCGCACCAAGCTGTTGGTGTAAAATCCAAATACGATATAAATATATCTTATGTATCAACCTTAGAGCCAGAGTTTATATCTTGATGTAGATCCTGTGTATTTGACTTTTGATATTTGAATGGAGATTGGTATTGTGAACAAATACATGCAACACTCTAAAAGCTCTGGAGTAATTCAAGATGGTTACAGAAAAAAGATAAATGATAAAATGTCCTCAAAATGGCACAACTAGGGCACTAACCTAATATATACAGAAAATTATGTGGATTTGAGTGGTACAGTTTTGACGTTATAAAGTTGAAGTAAACACTAATTTTGTGTTTTTTGATTATGTTTCAATGGTAACACAAAAAATACAAAAAAAAATGAAATGTCGCCAGTAGCAAAATGCACAACTAGGGCACTAACCTAATATATATAGAAAGTTTTGTGAAGTAGAGTGAAACGGTGTTGAAGTTGTAACCGGGAAAGGAACGTAAACACTAATTTTGTGTTTATTGGCTGTATTTCCATGGTAACACAAAAAGGATAAATGATAAAAAGTCCTCAATAGCAAAAGGCATAGCAAAGGCACTAACCTAATACATACAAAAAGTTTTGTTGAGTTGCATGGAATGGTTTTTGAAGTTGTAGCCTGGAAAGGAAAGTAAACACTAATTGTGTTTTTTGGCTATGTTTCCATGGTAACACAAAAAAAGTATAAAATGAAATGTTGTCAATAGCAAAAGGCCCAACTAGGGCACTGATCTAATAAATACAGCAAACTTTGTGAAGTTGAGTTGAATGGTTATGAAGTTATAGCCCAGAAAAACAATAGAAAAATTTAAACAAGAACTCCAGAAAAATAACAAAGAGTAATCATCTCCTCCTTCTAAGACAACACTGCCAGGTAAATCTTGTTCAATCCAAGTACTGTATTTGATCCAATAAATACACATGTCCCTATAAGTGCCCCTCCCCCTATTTTTTTGGATTCTGATGTTCAGATTTATTGACTTGTTTTACTCAATTCAAATTTCGTGGTCGCTACCCTGAGGTGACTTTAAGGGTGGTCCTTTGCGAATGATGTATATCAGAGCACATGGCTGTATTGCAAGCTGTAATAAAATGGAAATGGAAATGCAAACTAACTATACAGTAAAATGACAGGAATAATGAGAAGAATTTCCTTATTATACCTATATTATCGTACTCAACAATGACTAAAAGGTCACAAATTGAAGGGAAAAAAAAGAGAATAAAACATCAGCTGTTTTCACCTTTGGTAATTTCTATTCAAAATCTTTAGTGATTACGGTGTAGGACATATCTGTACCAGCAACTACACAGGAGTCCACAAATGCCATGTATTAACACTTCATATGATACACACTATCTAGTGTCATGTAAATATTTTTCCAAACTCATAATCATATTCACTTCATTACCATATTAAGAATATCTTACCATTTGTAAAAAGGGACCCAAGAGTCATATTCAGGCTAAATATTTTTGTGAAACACAAGATTTCAGAAACTTGTCATTAAGTCTGCATTAGTGATATGGTCTGATTCAATATGGCTTTTCAAACCAAAAAAAGAAAAGAAAGAAACTTGCAAATAACAAAATTACATAATCTTAAACTGAATAACCCATAATTTCCACTTGCATTAAAAATGTTTTTACATTAATCCAATCTTTTTAGAACGCAAATCATTTTAATTGAAAATTTAATTGTTTTGACTAGATTTAAATTCAATAAAATTCTAGGAAGATCAAATCTTGATCAAGGTCGCTCATGCAGTTTGCCTCAGTATGGTAACAACTTCAGCCAGACTTTCCTTGCATATGAGTAAAAGGAGCAGACATGGTGAATCAGAAGGACAAAATGCCCTGGCAACCCAGATGATTCAACTGTCATGGTATACAGTCAATATTTCAGCATCTGCAACACACACCTCTACGACAGTGTAACAGAGGTCATTTTTCATCGCAAAGCTGCTGCTAGGAATCGAACCCGGGATCCCTGGCTTACTAGTCTGATGCTCAACCAGTTGAGATAAAGAGTAGTTTTCTCTAGCCGAGTGGTATATTGCGGCTAGTATTTTAACAGGGTTACATACTCCCCCTCCAGGAATTAACTCGTCCTTGAGTTTCCAGGGGTCAAAGCAATGCCGGTGGGGCATGGCTAAGTACTATTCCCGGGTCCCTATGTGGGCGCCAATGTAACAGGTCATTTTTCATCTCAATGCTTCTGCTAGGAATCGAACCCGGGACCTCTGGCTTACTAGTCTGATGCTCAACCAATCGAGCTAAAGAGAAGTTCTCTCTAGCCGAGTGGTATATTGCGGCTAGTATTTTACCAGGGTTACATTATCATAGTTTTGCTTTTAACACATAAAACTATCCATCAGAAAACTGACCCTTCCTTATTTGCATAGTGAAGATGGCCAGTCAAAAACTGTCACAGACTGTCCCTGGTGTACTGTCCTCAGGAGTGCAAGTGACATAACACAAGAGAGGTTGACAAGATTACCAAACAAACACAGACATCTTCAGGACAATAATGACCAGGGTGATCTTTATCACAACAGGGTCTTTAAGAACAACATCAGATGACAAATGCTTATGACCTTGAGACAACTTTTCTTTTGATTAAGCAACAAGGCAGTAATCTGAAGCACACAAGTACAAATTAACAGTCTCCTATTTCTATCTCACTCAAAACATTTTGTTTATTATTTCATATTATTTTTGCGAAAATACATTATCACTGTTATACATTTACACATACACTGAGAATACATGGTCATTTTCCGTAAATATAAGCTGTATTTTGCCAAGGGTGAAGAAATTGAGACACATATTGTGAGCCTTTGGCTAGCCACTTTCGCCTTTCTGTCCTGAGCCAAAATGCAGCTTATATTTCAAGACAATGAACATAAGATCTTACAGACTTTACCAAAACTTTTTTGTTTACCTGACGTTGATGTTACTCTTAATTGTGTCTGATGATGCATGAAAATATCGCTCTGCATGGAAATATAGTTCCACACTTCAATGGCTATGAAAAGTTTTTTTATAAATTTTAGTAAATAAACTTATTTGTTACAACATATAATAAGACAGCTTGTTTAAACAGTTATTTATATTCTTAAATGAAATATTTAAGTAAATCATAAAGTAATCCTGTTAAATTAATGAACAAGCTAAAATACATTGACATACCATTCATAAAAACAACATGCAATATACAACATACTGAAGTGTGGATACTGGACAAAGTTTACATATCCAACATACTAGAAAATCCAAATAAGAGAAAACTGACCAGTGTATATATAAGGTTATACAAAAGATAGACACTAGTACATACTCTACATCGACCAGAAGGCCACACCTAACAGGACAAATATTATACTTAATTAGTATACAGATCAACCAAGTGATACATTATAATGTAAGTCAGGCAGGCCAAATATCTCCTATTTCTTCTTATGGTGTGGTACAGCTGCTGACCATTTTATGACTTTATCAATATGCAGTGTTTATGACTTATTTACATTATGTACACCACCTTCCCACATCATCTCATTAACCTCTATTCCAGTCATCTAGTCACTCCATCCCAGGCGAAAACTGTCCTCCTGGTGATAACTTACTCTGCCCCATCCCCTGAGCATTTACAATGTAGTACAAAGTCTATTGGCCTTACACAAAAACATGTATATAAGTGACCCAGTTACCAAGGAAACACTAATATTTTGCAAAAAATTATAAAGAAAAAAAAAAACTCACGCCAACACATCTACAGCATATAGCCCATAATACATCTGCATTTTTTTTCACAGAAGTCTAGAAAGGGCCCTCTAATCATAGGTTTTAGTTGGATGTTATGGCAACCAAATGACATAGGACGTGCTGGAAAATAGTACCATTGTTATAACTAATAACCATTTTTCAAAAACTTTATGTATCAATATTTAGCATAATCGTACAATATCTTAATTTTGACCAATCACAAGCCTTCAGTATGTAATGATTCTGGAAACACTTGATGTGTCAAATTATAGGCTTTGATATGTTACACCATTTGACCAAGTTTCATTAATATTCATCTAAGGACTGATGAGCTATGAACCATTACACAAAAACCTGTGTATATTGACAACCAAACATTCTGCTGAAAAAAAAAACTGCATGCACATCTATGCATGGTTCCTAACATTCCTGTGTAGTGCCATGGAAGTTAATTCACAAGTTAAGAAGGAGTTGTCAGGACAATTTTTTTCAGACAGACAGACAAACAGACTGACAGACAAGTGAATTCCAGTATAACATTGTTAGGAAAGGAAGAGTACATCACAAAACACATTAGGGTCATCCTGTCTGCACACAAAATCATTCTGATAATGCTGTAAATTCTCTCTACATGATCAAAATATTGCAATCTTCATTTTACTGTTCACTTTCTCTTTTATCTTAAATTCATCATACCTAACAGTAACCTTTACAAAAAACCACTGTAAATATCCGCCATATGCACCCATGTTTGTTTTACACAGAGTTTTACAGAGAGTAAATTTTGCCAACTTGTGTAGTCTTTCGGTTTGATCAAACCAGGTGTCTGCTGATCAGAAAACAACATTTTGTTCACAAAGTTTTCTCAAGAAAAAAAAAATACCTACCAGGAATGCACTTGCTGAATTTCCCTATCCCGATCCGTCATGACTGACGAGGTCCACGATGGAAAAATCATTTGGAATCAAAGGTAAATCAGGTAAATGTGCCAATAAAGCCTACTGGTACTTGTTTCCTTTCAAATATCAATGATCTCCATAAAATGTATGACTAACATACTTAACAAAGATGCAATTTATACTTGAAGAAACATCTAGCATCTTACAACAAATATTGTCATAGCCTATGAACCAATCAAATTTTCCGTCGTGCCTCATTCCAGGCAAATCTAAATACACCTATATGGAATACCAATAGGAATATCAGAGCTAATTCACACCAGTCACTTAATTCTTACAGCATGGATTAATACTGTTCCATATTAGAAAAGTCTTAATTTGTCCTGAATGTCTCACTTCAGATCCAATGGACCACAAAACTATGACATTTTGTAAAATGAGGAAACTGTTTTACCCCTAATAATGGACCTGACAAAGACTCCCAATGAAGGATGATTGGACAAGTTTCTGCAATAACAATGTCACTACTGTGATTTAAAATGATTCAACAACATTGTTCAATACCTATACAACAACATATAATTCTAATGATTTTCAACTCAATATGTATCATTTTGATCAAGCAATTATGTGGAGAACCAAAATTAGAACAGGCAATCACAAACTGTAAGTACCTCCAAGCTTCTTCAGTAAATAAAGGATATTTCAAATATTACGTTTAGTGCTTAATTAAATTTGGACATATATTTACTGACTATAGGATACAGTGCTTTAATTCTCTGTTGCTTAGGTTTATTTGAATACTTGATACTCATGGGGACTAATTTGCAATGTTCTATAATTGAGATGAAACCAAAGTACATTAAACCAGAAAAAATTGAATTCTTTGTGAATGTTTTGCACTGACAGCCTCGTACAGACATCTTTGATATGGAAAGCCATCAAACAGTATATGGACCTAAGTATGAGCACCAATATGCCTTGTCTATGTGTAAAATGTGCATCACGTTTACGAAAAACAATAATTTCCTAAATAAGTGTGCATTATACACACATAATTATCATATTTATAGATCGCACCTTTGGGGCACACACACCTAAGTTTATCTACAACTCATTCATTTTTAGCATTAAAATTCTTAAAGAATTTTTCCCCAATTATCTTATCTTAAATTTTCTTTATATACATAGATTTTATATTATTTTGTATGTTGTAACTGATATTTAGATGTCTTGCATAGACCAATCTTCTCCAGGGCCAGTTTTTGAGTCAGCTTATTTCTGAAAAGATATTTCAGAGTCAAGGGATTTCTCATGCCATTTTCAAGTCTAGTCACTTCTCATGACTTATTCAGAGCCAAGGGATTTCTCATGCAGTTTTCAAGTCTAGTCACTTCTCATGACTTATTCAGAACCAAGGGATTTCTCATGCCATTTTCAAGCCTAGTCACTTCTCATGACTTATTCAGAACCAAGGGATTTCTCATGCCATTTTCAAGTCTAGTCACTTCTCATGACTTATTCAGAGCCAAGGGATTTCTCATGCCATTTTCAAGTCTAGTCACTTCTCATGACTTATTCAGAGCCAAGGGATTTCTCATGCCATTTTCAAGTCTAGTCACTTCTCATGACTTATTCAGAATCAAGGGATTTCTCATGCAGTTTTCAAGTCTAGTCACTTCTCATGACTTATTCAGAACCAAGGGATTTCTCATGCAGTTTTCAAGTCTAGTCACTTCTCATGACTTATTCAGAATCAAGGGATTTCTCATGCCATTTTCAAGTCTAGTCACTTCTCATGACTTATTCAGAACCAAGGGATTTCTCATGCCATTTTCAAGTCTAGTCACTTCTCATGACTTATTCAGAACCAAGGGATTTCTCATGCCATTTTCAAGTCTAGTCACTTCTCATGACTTATTCAGAGTCAAGGGATCTCTCATTATTGTTTATGAGTGTGTAGCCCCTGACACACCAAAGAAATTGTGTTGTTGTTTTGTGGTGTGCATTTGCATCAGTAATCAGTTTAAACATGCGTATTTATGTTATTTACTGATGGCATCGACACTAACTGTGTTTTGACAATGACTTCCCCCACAGGAACTGTAATTTATAGAGCAATATCTGGAGGAGTGGGAGGCATTCTGATAAATCTATCAATAAATTTCTGCTTCTAAAAATAGAATCATATATTTTAAATATTTAAGGTTACTAAGCACACTCAATAGCATTCTAATGGTGCTATAACTGTAAAGTTATACAGCCATCTCATACATAATAATTCTGGTATATTTTTCTGCTGAACAATTCAAGTGTCAATAGAATTATCTAAACCTTTGAAAATTTCTTTCTCAATGAAAGCACAGATAATCAAAAAAAATTGCTTTACATCAAATTTACGAATGTTTACTTAAGTAAATAAAAAACAGAATAGATGTTTACAATGTATTCAAAACATTATCACATCTGTCCATTAAAACCTCTTCTGCATAAAGTTATTCAAGCACCTGCCCATACAGTCCACAGGTTTACAAAAGTGTATATATTTACTTTGTCTATAAAGTCAATCTATCTATGATGACTGAATGTTCATAAATTCTGTCTGCTCTATGAGCACTTGTCTTAAGAGAACCTGTCTATAAAGTTCAATAACTACAATGTCAGTAGGTACCTGTTGATGAATATCACACATGTTGTAATGGTCTATCTAGACAGGTTGTCATTATATTATGTTGGTCTCAGGATCACTAGACAGGTTGTCAGACTATACTGGACTCTCTAGACAGGTTTTCAGACTATACTGGTCTCTCTAGAAAGGTTGTAAGACCATACTAGACTCTCTAGAAAGGTTGTCAGACTATACTGGTCTCTCTAGAAAGGTTGTCAGACTATACTGGTCTCTCTAGAAAGGTTGTCAGAATATACTGGTCTCTCTAGAAAGGTTGTAAGACCATACTAGTCTCTCTAGACAGGTTTTCAGACTGTACTAATCTCTCTAGACAGGTTTTCAGACTGTACTAATCTCTCTAGACAGGTTTTCAGACTGTACTAATCTCTCTAGAAAAGTTGTCAGACTATACTGGTCTCTCTTGACTGGTTGTTTGACCATACTGGTCTCTCTAGACAGGTTGTTATATTAAAACATTTATCTCACTAGACATGTTGTGAGACTATAGGTTTCTCAAAGAACAGGTTGTCAGACTATATCTGTCTCTCTTGACAGGTTGTCAGACTACATTGGTCTCTATAGACAGATAGTATGACAAGAATGTCTCTTAATAGGATGTCACAGTACGATTTTGGTTCTGTTGCTATAGTAAGATATTGGTCTCTTTAAACAGGTTGTCAGACTACATTGGTCTCTATAGACAGATAGTATGACAAGAATGTCTCTTAATAGGATGTCACAGTACGATTTTGGTTGTGTTGCTATAGTAAGATATTGGTCTCTTTAGACAGGTTATCAGACTACATTGATCTCACTGGTCAGGTTGCCAGACTATATCTGTTTCTCTTGACAGGTTGTCATACTAATTGGTCTCTTAGACAGTTTGTTATAGTATGACATGAATGTCTCTAAATAGGTTGTCATAGAAAGAGATTGGTCTCTGTAGACATTTTGTCAGACTACATTGATCTCTCTGGACAGGTTGTCAGACTGTTTTGGTCTCTCTAGACAAGTTATTTAACTAACCAGTGATGAAACCATTATTATAGATTTCAGTTTCAAATGTGTAGGTATAAACTAATTCTTCAAACGCATGTTTTAATTTCATTTTGTTTCCAGACACCATTTCTACCACACTGAAAGCTGTGGAACACTCATATTCATTGCTTTAACAAAGTGAAATAAATACTTCCTCATGTATATTTCTGTTTCTTTACTCTTATTTTTTATTGATTTTCAGCAAACATGCTTATCAGTTACAACTTGCTGCAAGGCCTGTGACCTTTCAAGCCCCAAGGGAACCACCATAGAATGCCCCACTTCATCGGCTCCATGTCTTCTTGTGTGAGTCGTAGAATCTAATTATTAGAGCTCAATAGTATAAAACCTGATTAGCATGGAAACAACCAAAATTTTCCCTGGCATATTTCATGAAATTCTAAACCTAAACAGCAGAATTTTGGATTCAAATCCATAGCTTCAGGACATGAAATGCGAACACTTATCAATTTGGAGATTGGAACTCCAAAGTACATTTAGATTTAAGCAGCTATGGAAGCCTTTACCAACCTTGTAGGACATTACATGGACAAACAGTAAAGCATAAAAGACTGACCTCCAGCAAGTCTGTGGGACAGAATATTGTCTGAGTGAGAGACCAATGTATATTTCCCAGGGGACAACACTTCTTAACCACAAACACCACACTACCAATACACACTCGTCATATTTCCTATATCAATCAACTACTGACAAGTAACTTGATTTATTGAAAGTCTTATGTTGGTGATTATATCTCCCACACTCTAGAGTTTTCTATTAATGTAATTTAACTTTTCTTATTGTCTTCAGAGACATAGGCAAAAATTTGTAACTTTTTTTCTTTTGTTTGAATAAGACAGCTATTCCAAATTACCCTCAAATGATGGTGTCTTGTTATTGAAGAAATGAAAGGCAACATAAAATTTGGAGAAATACTTTATTCTGCATTACTATAGGTAATTTCTAAAATCTTTTTATGTCCATAATCTAATTCAAATCCCATAGTTTTGCTACTTTAACATAACAACCTGCCACACAACTTATAAGTTACCCATAACAACTTGCCACACAATTTATAAATTATCCATAGCAACCTGCCACACAACTTTTAAGTTAACTGTAGCAACATTTCATACCAACTATAAGTTACCCATAACAACCTGCCATAGTTACCCGTTACAACTGCCAAACAACTGTCACACAAGTTATTGGGTTCCCATAACATGCCACACAAGTTTTAAGTTACCCATAACAACATGTCTCAAAAGGGACAAGTTACCATAGCAACCTGCCAAATAAGTTATAAGTTACCTATACCAATTTGGCACCAAAATGGGTTACAATGTTATGTAACCCCTATGATACTGATATACTATAATGTGAATCACCATTATGAATTCACCCTTACCAACCTGCATGAAATAGAAGTCACCCTTCCAATTTGTTATGAAAGTTAAAATACTGTCTAACAGTACTTACACAACTTTACACATGATAAAATTGTAAGATTCCTCTATCTACTGCTGATACACCCCAGATAAACTATACCAATTTATCAGACAACAGACTCCCAACATAACAGTTACATATATGAGACATTTGTGTTAGTTTGTCATTTAGTCATTCAATCCATGTTCCCAGTTAACACCCAATGTTCAAATGTGTCAAAATAGTTGAAGGCCGAGGTTAGAAGTTTTGCTTACAATGTCAAAAATGTTACAGTTTTCATATGTGAATTGTGCAGTTGGCCAGATAACTAGTATATATAGTTCCACAGCCATATCTAGACTGATAGGATAGGTTTAAAGGTTTCTGTGTTAGTAGGTTTATATTAAGTTTACATGTGATACTGTATAGTGTGTAGTCACAACACCACCTTAGACCAATAACAGAAACAACAAAATCCATTATTTCTGTAGATATCAATATAATAAACAGATTACTAGTATATATAGTTCCACAGCCATATCTAGTCTGATAGGATAGGTTGAAAGGTTTCTGTGTTAGTAGGTTTATATCAAGTTTACATATGATACTGTATAGCATGTAGTCACAACACCACCTTAGACCAATAACAGAAACAACAAAATCCACAATTCCTGTAGATATCAATATAATAAACAGTAGAATCTGTGCTAGGAAACGACTAGAATTTTACCAAGGAAACAGTAAAATGTCTATAACAAACTGCTATCAGTTTACCTAAGAAAGAACTGGATTTTGTGCCAAGATAACAGAAAATAACAAAGTCTTTATGGCCAGGAAGGACTCTTGTTATGTACTAAGAATTTTTTAATGTACAGGTTTGGGTTCAGGAAAAACAAAACCAGGATGCCATAACTCTGTCAGGTAACATGGGAATGGAGTTGGATTTGGATCATGAAAAGAATAAGATTTCAATGAGAAAACTTGGACAAGGAAGTCTCTTGACTTTGGGTTAACAAACAACTGAAGTTTGGAATATGGCCAAAGCAGTTTGGTATACAAAGCAAGATACTTCGGACACAAGGGAGATAACTTTGGTGCATAACACACATTTAGCATCTCCATGACTGGTTTTGAAATGTCATTTGAAGTTTCAGAAATTCTATTTGCAATAAATATACACTCCGACAAAATTGCCTACCATAAAGAGCATATCTAAAATAAAGGCCAGAATGTTTTTGTTCTTAAATAAGTAGTTGTATAGTTTATCACAAGCATTAAACAAGTACAACAAGACAGAAGTCTGTTTGTGGAATTAAATCAATCTTACTTCACACAAAACCAACACTAAATTAGTCTGGGTTGTTGTGATGGATTATATGCATTAGCGGGTACACTAATCAATGACGCTTGTAATGACTGTATCAAATAATAGTAAAAAACACACAAAGAAATTGCATATCCACGTCACATTTGCCAGACATGGGAATGTATATATTCTCTTCCCCGGAAGGGAACTAAAGACTGAATCTAGCAATAGGCCCATGGGGTAGTAAGACATTTTACATCGCATACCTATTCCTACTTCAGTTTTACCATGTTTTCTATCACAGTTCCCCAGGCAATGTACATTAAACTCAAGCAACATCTTCAGCTAGTGTAGAGGTTGCCTAACAAATGTACATAAATCCCCATGCACTGCCCTTCAACTTCAGACAGTGTCCTACATTCTATGACAATGTCCTTGATCTCCAAATCCTGATATTGATCCTCAGGCATTGTCCTTGATCCCCAGACAATATTCTTGATCCAAAGAAGTGTATTTAATTTGCAGAAAATGGACTTAATTCCCAGAGTGCTTTGATCTGATAAAGTGTCCTTGA